TCTCTCCCTCTCCACCTCACCACTGTGGTCCTCGGTGGTGTCTGCCTCGTGGATCTGGTTATCGAACCACATGTGGGCCACGGTCATGCGGTTCTGGGTCAGCGTGCCCGTCTTGTCAGAGCAGATGGTGGAGGTAGAGCCGAGAGTCTCTACGGCCTCTAGGTTCTTTACCAGACAGTTCTTCTTGGCCATTCGCTTGGCAGTGAGAGTCAGACACACCTGAGAGGATGGGGGGGGGGTTGCAAAAAGGATAGGGGAGGAGAGGACAGTGGACTGTTAGTTAGCAAGGGGAGAGAGGATGTGTGAGCTCTGGTGTCTGTGCATGTGAAACCTTATAGCACACGTGTGTGTTAATGCTAGTGAATGTGTGCATGGCTGTTAACAGCAGGTGCACAGGGACAAGAATAGGATGAATACATATATTCCACATGTTAGACATTCTCAAATAGCAACAAATGCAGCACATAGACACACAACTAAAGATACCAGTCACTGGAAGTTAATTTGTTTTTTGTGACCAGTGAAACGTCGACTGATGGCATTTCAAATGCCATCTGGCATCTACCTCAGCTCACACTTTGTTTATTGTTGTGGAAAAAGTTAGATGCATGTCAACATCTGAGCAACTTCAGCATTCAGTGTGCACCTGCTTTACTGTGATCTGCAGCATCTTCAGACCTACAGCTAACAGTAAACAATGCCAGTGAGCTAGCAGGCTAAATATCAGGGTTAACAGTGTGTCAGTGTGTAATGTGAAGGCAGCCGCTCAAGATAAAAACCATGAAATATTAACATGCAGTTCTACAGAGCTTCGGAGCCTCTTTTGGTCACCATTTTGGTTTTCAGGCCTGCAAACTCTGGTGTCTCCGGCAGCCACTGAAAACACTAGCTCATTAACTCAGTGTAAGCTGCTTCACCAGCACCAAACAGTGGACAAAGTTCGGAAATCTGCAAGCTGTTGCTAGTAGTTAGCAAGCATCTATCTTCATACACCTCGATGGAGAGCAAAACAAAGCTAAAAATAAAATGAAAAAAATGAAGGAACACTGAACAGAACTCTGCGTTGTGCTCTGTGCCTGCTGGATGTGTAAGCAGGACATTGCCAACTTATTTGCCCTGCCTTTACAAGGTGGTAATATGTCAGCTGTTATATTTTCAGCTTGTTCCTGTGTCCTCATATGGCTCCACAAACATTTAATACAGCTTTAAATAAGTACAACAAATCGCATGTGTTTAATGTGGCTACAGTCAGAAAGGTCTATGCTTGATGCACATGCTATTATACAGTATAAATACAACCAAACGCTCCCCGGCTACAACATATGCTAAACCAGACCAATCACCTCCATTTTTCCACAACTCAGAATTATGACTTGTTTTAGTTTATTTAGAAGAATTTCACTTTCAAAATAAAAATCTAATTAAATAATAATCTAATAAATTAATAATGAAAATAGAAAGAACAACAGTTACCATTTGCAACACAAACACTGTTTAATTGTTTTGTTTGTTTGTGTAAAGCAGCTAATTTATGAATTTTCCCCATGGTTGTAGTCACTTCCTATTCCCATGCTCATGTTATGATCTGTCCTTGCTACAAGGAGAACTTGTTTATTCTAAAAATGAACCTTGTTTTCTTGCAGCAAAAACAAGAAGAGGGTGTGTGGAGACATAAAATCAGTACAAACTTAAAACAATGAGCTTTTCTCATAAAAGAGAGAAAACACCCCTGTACATACTCACAGTGACAGTAGCCAGCAGTCCCTCAGGCACATTAGCCACAATAATGCCAATGAGGAAGATGACAGCCTCCAGCCAGGTGTATCCCAGGATGATTGACAGGATGAAGAAGCTCATGCCCAGGAAGACGGCCACGCCTGTGATGATGTGGATGAAGTGCTCGATCTCAACGCTGATGGGCGTGCGGCGGACCTCCAGCTCAGATGCCAGAGTGGCAATGCGCCCCATTACTGTGTGGTCACCGGTGGCTATCACAATACCACTGGCTACACCTGAGAGGGACGGATTGATTCGCTGTTAGTCTCTCTGGAAGCATCACCTTAATTAATATACAGTTTGAAAAACATAAGTAAATGTTAACTAAAGCTTTCTGAGTACATCATTCTGTCCTGAAAAGTAGTTTTTTTAAATCTGGACTACAAATCAGAAGGCAAACTGACTGATAACAGGGTGATCTGATGCCCTCACTGCATGCACGGAAAGTGTGTGTGTTTGTCAGAGTGATACGAAAAGAGACAAATGACTGTAAACAGTGTGGAGGACAGTGTAGAAGCTGAGTGCTGTGTTTTGTAACCAGGAGGGAGGGTTGATGGGGAGGTAATGGCTGAACGAAGAGCAGTGATGGATGGAGGTGAATTACAGGTGTTGGCCAGTGATTGATGGTCAGGTGGACCAAGCAGATCCTGGGCAGAGTGAGTGAGGAGAGATTCTGAACAGTACAAACAATGAACTCTCTATCTGTAGTTGTTACTAGGACTGTTTTCTCAGTGGAAAGAAGCTCCAGTAAAAACTGTTCAAAGGAGGAACCAGGACCTTGTTTGGGAAAAACATGCTGTTGATATTTTTATTATATTATTTCCACAACCCTGTGAGTATGACAAACAAAATTTTATTCACCTCTATTGCACTGAGGTGGGAGCATTCTCCGCGAGACCAGGATTCACCGGGACAAACTGAACCAAAAACCTGCTGCATGACTATATACTAGGATATAAAATGATTTACACCAAATGTTGGTATAGATGGACATTTTGTAAAAGACAGGATGCAGGATTTCTCAACTGTCTCCAAGGTAGAGAATGAACTTAATATTGGTTTTCCAAACTGAATGTATTGTAATTTGGTTTGCTTTAATGGAACCGCCAGTAGAATTCAGATGAAGATCTTGAACCAGATTGCAGATTCTAAAATGAAAAACCCTTTGAAATTTAATTTGATGTCTGATAACTGAAACACCCACTGGCTGGATCTCAAATGGAAACACTCAATAATGTTATAGTTACTGAGTTTTGAATGCATAAGGTCTGATAGAACACACTGATGGTGCAGAGGTAAAGTGAAACAACATTTATATCCAGATGGCTTAAAGAAAAAGAAGCTGAGAGGCAATAAGAGACAATGTTGGCCAGATGTGGCCTGCTGACCTTCGACACAATTGGTGGAAAAGAAACAGATGTTGCGAGTCTCTAGAGGATTGTCGTGCGTGTACTCTGGGCTGCGAGTCTGAGGCTCCGATTCTCCGGTCAGAGAGGAGTTGTCCACCTTCACAGAGAGAAGGAGACAGGAAGGGAGAAGAGTGTTATCTAGTGAGACTGAGGGACAGAAAGTGGAGGGAGTGACTGACAAGGTGGAAATGAAAGAAGCAGCACTTATCAAGAACAAGTGCAGCAGCGTAGCACTGCAGTTATGAGAAACTCATACTGAATGTTGAGTGGTCAACTTGAAAAGGTGACATTTTGGAGAAATATTCGCCCCAGGATAACTGTGTGTACAAGGTAAAAAGGAAGAAACAAATAGGAATGACAGTTAATAATAACAACTTAGTGGAAGACTAGAAAAATACCGTGTAACAGAATCTGGAGTATGGAGAGACCCCTGCTTATCAAAGTGAAACTAGACCCTCCAGGTCTGGAGGATTTTCACTGTGATGTTAATGCATTCGTTAGGCATGTGATTCTAAACTGATTTGTAACATACAACAACATATGAGCACTACAAAAAGCTTGTAACACAATAGGATCAAGATCTTGAGGTCTTGAGCTGCTTTTTACACGTCCACAGTGTCCACAGAGAGGACAGGAGAGATGAAGCTACAATGTCAAAGGCACATTTACCTCTTGTTTTAAGTCTGGACCAAGGAGTATCCAACAAACCCTGATGGGAGCGTATGTTAACCAACAAAACGCTATCAAAGAAACAATAAACAACAGAACCAGAGTCAGAGCTACTGTAATCCCACTGAGAGCTGCCCACGGCTGAGCCCAGCACCCCTCCGCTACCTTGCATCCGCTGGAGGAGGTCACTCGAAGGTCAGCTGGGATGCGGTCTCCCCCTTTGATCTCCACCAGATCTCCCTGCACCACAAGCTCAGCATTGATCTGCATCTTCTCCCCCTCCCGAATCACTGTGGCTTGCTGGCATGGGGGGAAAAAAGAAGAAGAAGAACAGAGGCAGAAGAAGGGAGAGGGAGTAAGAAGAGAGAGATAAAGAAAAAGAGGAGCCAGAGGGTGTAGACATGTGTGAAAGGCAGAGATAGAGAGAGGAAAAGGAAGAGAGAAAGAAATGTCAAGGAGGCAGAAGGATGCAGAAGAAGAAAGTGAAAAGAGACTAAACAGATTAAAGAATTAGCCGATTGCAGTGCTAGAGGTGGATAACATGAGGGAAGTTTTTATGCAAGCACACTCAAACTTGGCTCAAACACTTATTCTTCCTTTGTGCAGGCTTATTAAGTCCTCACTAAAGTAAATGTATAAGCCCTACTTGACCAAAGGTTTATTGATTCAGGAAACTCTGAGACTACACTAAACAAATCGACTTACCTGTGGCACCATTTTCTTGAAGGAGTCCATGATTCGGGAGCTCTTGGCCTCTTGGAAGTAGGAGAAACAGCCGGTGATGATCACCACAGCTGCCAGCACCACACCCAGATACAACTGAAATGGGAGCGAGGCCAAGCCACAGGGAGAAACAGTGTCATTATCGGCTTAGTTTGGTTCATGTAAGCCATGTTTAAGCATAAAAAACAGGGATTTACAGACCTCAAACTGGGTTTAAAACAGCAAAACAGTTAATGTACAGTGCAAGAGAAGAGGTAAGAGCAAGAAAACTCTGGGATGCTCTCAGTATTAGTAGGACATTTAAAAGGAAAAGTTGTTAGAGCTGAATTCTGGTGCACTATTCCTGTCATCTTGGATGGTTTGCTCAGTGTTAGTCCAAGTGAGCATCTGTTTCCCAAACCCAGAAAACCAAGAACTGAGACTTTGATCTGGGAGGCCACCAAGAAACACTTTCTGAGCTGGGGCCATACTTCGTAGACTTAGCGGTGTGTGAAGGAAAAGGGGGCATCTATTCTGGTGCTTTTTTTTTTTTTTTTTACTTTTCTTTACTTTTCAGTTCTAACAATAAAAAAACGCTGTTCTGAGTTCAGCTCTCACTGATGCAAACAAGACAGCAAGGCACTTTGGATAAAAGCATCTGCCAGCTGGGGAACTGTATGTCCTGGACTCTGAGAAAATAAAATTTCTAAATCCTAAGTTTGCTCTTTCAAAGGAGCTGTTTTTATTTGACGGCAACAGCAGAATGTTTTGCTCTTTTCACACTCAAATGACTTTTTTTTTTACCATAGCAGTGCAAAATCTTCTGAACCAGAAAATGCATCTGTATCCTATGAAAATCATTTATCAGTGTTTACAACATAAGGCGCCGGTTCAGCGTTCAATTTGCAGCTCCCTGCTTCGTCTCTGTGTGTCTTGCACAGTTACGTCTCAGCTCTTTTGCCTCTCCTCACTTTTGGAGCTACTTGTTTTTGTTCCCCAGCTGTACAGAGTTAGGAGCAACATCTGTCCAAGAAGGCGACAAGTATAAAGAAGTGAAAACATAAATGCTGCTTTTCCAGATTGCAAACATGAATTATAAAATATGTCTGTAAATGTTATAATTCCAGCAGCACTTTCAGAAAAACAATAAAGAAAGTTTTAATCCCACAACAGAGATATGTAAAGTCCTGTTAGGGTAGATTTTATGTTATGCAAAGACTCAAAGTGTCAAAGCTGCAGGCAGATGGAGCTTTGAAGCAGCTCAGCAGAGCATCCAGCTGCACATACACTGAATGTAGAGGTTAAATCACGAGGAGATTAAAGTTAGCACGTGTGTGAATGTGTGTGTGTGTGTGTGTAGCTACTGTACGTTTCTGTATATTATGCAAGGGTTTAATACTGTCTGGGGATGGAGAGCACTGAATGATGATTGCCTAATGACTCAGAGCCATAAAGTGCAGTATGGATGGCTGCTTGGCTCCACTTGCTCTGCAGTTGGTCTGAGTATCTGTGCTAATGCCAGGACCAATGCCAGTGTCAGAGGTGGTTCTTACGTCACACTTTCTGGGGGAGGGGGGGAAAGGATTCTGTGTCAGTGTGCACTTGTAACTCTATACATACGAGGACCAAACCCTGGTGCGTGAAAGCATCTATGATATACATTTTATGGTTTTTCTTTCTTTTCGATTTTGATGGGCTTCAGTTTCCTTCTTTACTCTATTTCCTTTAGCAAATGTTGGCTCTGGGTTGGGTCATGTGACCTGACTGTGCTGTCACTTTGCCATGTACTTTGAGAAAGGAGATTTAGATCTCATGAGGTAAACCTGGCTAAGTAAAGGTCATATAAAATAATACATCTCCCTACAAAAGAAGGTAAGGAAAGTCCACCAAAATGAAGGATTTTGACACTTCTGGTCTCAGGGACTATCTCAGAGTAACTAAGTACATTTACTCAAGTACCCTTCTAAAGTACAGCTGAGGTATCCGTACTTTACTTGAGCGTTGTCACGCTCTCTTACTTGATACTTTGACTTCACTACATTTCAGAGAAAAATATTGTACTTTGCACTATTATATTAGTTAATAGTTACTTTGCATAATGAGGTTTATACAACAAAATACAGTATAATCATATAATCATAAGATTATTATATCATATCCTTGGTGTAAAAGTCACAAGCTACCCAGCAGTAATTTAGATTATAAACATAATTAACATAATTAGCTCTGCCTTTAACAGTTATAACATTAAATGTGACGTACACATTAATACACCAAATATTTGAATTGAATAATATGATGTATATCAATGTAAAATGTGACATTTTGAATAATGAGTACTTTTACTTATTTTATGCTAATACTTTTGTAATTTTACTTAAGTAACATTTCGAATGCAGCACTTTTACTTGTAACAGAGTATTTTCCCACTGTGGTACTACTATTTTTCAGTAAACAATATTAGTACTTCTTCCACCACTGGACTAGATTTAGGAAACTGTTTCAGACACAAGTGTGTCTGTGGGTGTTTGCATGTGTAATAATGTGATATTACCATTTCTTGATTTTCAGTGGAATTATGGTAATGAATTACTGACAGATGGTACGATCACATTTTTATATCTTGATGACATTCAGCCAATATTACACAGGCTGCATTACACACTGTTAATGAGGGACAAGCTGGGCTTGAAATCTCCTCAGTGTAATAAATGGAATTTAGAAATGGGTACATATGCATACATATTATCATGCACAAGGATACAGACATTACGGAGAGAAGTGAAACGATCACCTTCACTGAATATAACTTAAAGATTTTACCCCTTAGCTACTAAGGTGAACAGTGCAAAACAATAAAAAAACTGAAATAAAATAACCATAGTGAAAAAGTAATTATAACATCACTATATAGCAAGACAGATTATTAAAAATCTGATTCCAATAACGTTCCTTCAGTAGAAAGGAGCTCAGGAGAATAACACATCTGGACAAACCTCTACATGACAATATCAAAGGAATAATCTATATAAAGCAGCCAGTCAGAGCAGTGGGCTCCTCTGGGAAGAGCTTTGGTCTTGTGGAACTGACTATGGCCCACTTCAGTAACTTAAATTGGTCATTTCAATCATAACTTTAATAAAAAGAAAAAATTTTGTGCACCTGAGGAATTCTGTCTAATGTCGGGCCGGACACTGGAACATAGCATATTGCATTTAAATATTTATAGATGATGATTTTATATGTGATTTTTTTTCACACGAATTAGCCATAAGTGGAAAGTAACTAAGTACATTTACTGAAGTATTGTACTTAAGTACAGTTCTGAGGTATCTATACTTTACTCAAGTATTTTCATTTTCTGCTACTTCATACTTAGACTTCGCTACATTTGACTCTACTTTTCACTCCACTACATTTACTGGATAACTTTAGCTACTAGTTACTTTCAGAATTAGATTAATTACACAAAATACAGTATAATCATAAGAGTTTAATGGGAAGTTCATTAACTAACCAGCTTCATCTTTACCAGCTGCAACATTAAAATGACAAAATCATCAATGCATCAGTAATTATAATCAAATAATACAATTGGATATACATTGATGTAAAATGTACCATTCCTACTAGTTACTTTCAGAATTAGATTAATTACACAAAATACAGTATAATCATAAGAGTTTAATGGGAAGTTCATTAACTAACCAGCTTCATCTTTACCAGCTGCAACATTAAAATGACAAAATCATCAATGCATCAGTAATTATAATCAAATAATACAATTGGATATACATTGATGTAAAATGTACCATTCTGCATAACAACTACTTCGATACTTTCAGTATATTTTGATGCTAATACTTTTCAGTTTAATGGGAAGTTCATTAACTAACCAGCTTCATCTTTACCAGCTGCAACATTAAAATGACAAAATCATCAATGCATCAGTAATTATAATCAAATAATACAATTGGATATACATTGATGTAAAATGTACCATTCTGCATAACAACTACTTCGATACTTTCAGTATATTTTGATGCTAATACTTTTCTACTTTTACTTAAGTAATATTTAGTATCTAGGACGTGTATTTTTACACTGTGGTATTAGTACTTTTACAAAATCATCAATGCATCAGTAATTATAATCAAATAATACAATTGGATATACATTGATGTAAAATGTACCATTCTGCATAACAACTACTTCGATACTTTCAGTATATTTTGATGCTAATACTTTTCTACTTTTACTTAAGTAATATTTAGTATCTAGGACGTGTATTTTTACACTGTGGTATTAGTACTTTTACTTAAGCAAACAATCTCATCACTTCCACAACTGACCATAGTGTAACATACACTGCATACTGATGGGGGATAATGTGGGGCGCCAAAGACAGACATGCAAAGAAAAGGCCCAAATTAAATTTATTTAACCAGTTACTGAAGATAATTTTATGTTAAAATTAGAAGCTGGTTTATACGTAAACCCTCGTTTGGCTGGACAGGATGTGTGTGTGTCGACTGTACCTGCATTGCTAGTGTCTCTGTCTGCCTACATCCATCCTTGTGTCTGTGACTAAAATAGGGCGCGTGTGTGTACATGTGCATGCACGTTTTGCATGCAGTTTCTTACGTTGTCATTGGTTGGCTCCTCCTCTGTGACCACCTGGATGGTGTAGGCCAGGAAGCAAAGGAGGGCACCGATCCAGAGCAGGATGGAGAAGCCACCGAACAGCTGACGACAGAACTTCACCCACTCCGGGATGGTGGGGGGAGGAGTCAGAGCATTTAAGCCATCCCTGGCCAGAACCTCGGCAGCTCTGGCCTTGGTGAGGCCCTGCAGGGAGAGCAATTTTTAGGAATGAATGTATTTCTGCTTGCTCTGGAAATCTTTTTACAATGGCCTCATTTTCACCATGGCTGAAAAAGGTAATTTTACTGCTACAGCAGAACATCAAGAATTCCTGCCTGGCCTATTTAACACCACCAGTTTAATAAAGTAGATGACTCTTCTCATCCAAGATGCTTGGCCGTAAAACTGTTGGATGCAACCTTATTGAACATTTTTCCTGATTTCATGCCTAATAGTGTCACGGTCTAATTTACATGAAATTTATGTAAATACCTGCTATAATTTGACCATATTGGAAAACACAAATTGGTTCTCTTTCAAGCTTTAGCAGGTGCTTGACATTTTAACAGCTTGTGTAATTTCCTGGGGACGCCAGCTTCCACTGTTATTAATGCTAATCTTAAAATGAAAAAAATTTGTTTCACTACACCTGCAATGTCAAACCTAAGGTAAGCAGCAAATACGGTTACAGCATGAGAACGTCTGTGGTGTGTTTGTACCTGCTTGTGGATGGGATTGTAACTGTGCATGTTTGTATGTGACTGAGGGGATTAAAGATGAGGAAGGCTCAGGGGGAGCTATGCATGCTGTGGTGGATCTACTTGACCAAAGTAATGCTGGGTCACAGTTTGGATGTGGCTTTCCAGTATAAGCCAGCAGATATTTAATCTCTATGGAGAATATACCAGCAAAGCTTTGTTATGTGTTTATGTGCATGTGCAAATGAGAGTGTCTGTGTCATTACCCGTCTGAGATCCACTCCATAGCGTTTTGCCAGATCTTCTAGAGTTATTCTGTGGTCATCCTGCAGGGATAAAATGTTCCTTTTTATTTGTGTGTCAGTGGAACATAAACAGTTAACAGAATCAGAGACATTTTAATTGGCTGGTAAAATGACTTGAAAGGAAATTTTTGAACTGGGACAGTATGGCCCCAGCTCTGAAGAGGAGCACAGTGATGGTCATATAGATTATAAGGGCAAAGTACTGATGTTTTGGCTTTATTTTCTCTGTCTGACTTGGATTCGGGGGCTTTATATTTACAGTATGATTCATTCCTCTTGAGAGAACATAGGTCAAAGAGTGATGTCCACTCCCCCTGCATCTCCAGGCTGTGCTGAACTAGAGGAAGGCAAACTGTGCAGCCGTAAAACTGTGGCCTCATAAAAATGTTAAGCTTGCTGCTGCAACCAGAACATCCACCCAAAACAGTCATTAAGAAGGTCTTGATGTCTTTGGAGTTTAGTTTGTTGGTTGGTGTTGCATTTGTATTTATTCCTGTGAATACAGCAGCTGGTCAAAAACCACCTCCAGATACTATGTTAGATTTTTTTGGTGATTAAGCCTTCAACGTGGTGTCAGTCCCAAAGAATGAAGGACTACTTTCTTTGCTCAGTGATACCAGGTGGAAAAATCCATCAATTTCCTCACCAGTGGTCAGCAATGAGCTACAGAATCAATTGCATACCCCAGTGTTCACGAAACTGTTTGCTAGTTAAGCATTATTTATATGGCCCTACACCCAGTATTGATCAGCCATTGTCTGGTGGTTGTCTAAAGGATTTCTGGGAAAAACTGTAGGAAATCACAGACTGAGGAAGCAGTACAAGGGGCAGACTGATAAAAGAAAAATACAATACTTAATCTCAAAACCACTCTTGAGGTGTTCACAGTATTCAGGGATTTCTTTTCTCTTTTAATCAGTAGCAACTTAATAATTGACTAGGGTTGCTTTATTAGAGATAATGTGAGTAGCAAAACTTAGGCCAGTTTTCACGGGCATCGCTTAGCTGCGTTTTGACTACGCCTCAAAGAGCTGCAGCTCTGTACAAGACAAAAACTCTGCACCACACTGCTGGTGGCCCACAAATAATTCAGTATCTTTGCGAGTACAAAGAAGAGCAGCCATGGTGGTAAACATACTGTAGGCGAGTACAGGCTGGTTCAGAGCTCATCTGTGGCTGACTACACCTAGCAGGTTGGATTGCCATTTTGTTTATGGGTCACAGTTTTCATTTATAGTCTTGTTAAATAACCCAGAGTTTTTGACGCAATATTATTTGGATATAATTTGGGAGCTGCAGCGGTGGAATCAATCACTGTGCAGAGTGAGTGTGGGTTGGAGCAGTGACAGCTTGTTTTTCTTACCAAGGACACCTCCTTCTTTAGCTCATCCAAGTTCCTGTCCTTCTTCGTCCTCTTTGCTCCATTCTCTGCACCCCACTGGGGGAAAAGAGAGATTACCTTAAATCAGTCCCTATCATTCCAAACCGCCACTGAGAATAAGCAGGAGAACTCACAGGCTTGTAGCACATTGTGCCTACAGCCATTTACATTCATAGCCATGTATTACAAACATCAGTGTGAGCACAATGGGCTTTGTGTATGCTGGTTCATTTCAATCTCCTGGCACTATTGACAAACTATTCACTGAATATGGAGGAGAAAATATTTTTCCCTCATGGTGCAAGTTCCTCATTTGTGCG